GGAGGAGAGAGGAGAGAGGAGGAGAGAAGAGGAGAGGGGAGAGGAGGAGAGGAGAGAGGAGAGGAGAGAAGAGGAAAGGAGAGGAGAGGAGAGAGGAGGAGAGAGGAGAGAGGAGGAGAGGAGGATAGAGGAGAGGAGAGAGGAGAGGAGGAGAGAGGAGAGGGAGAGAAGAGGAAAGGAGTGGAGAGGGAGAGGAGAGGAGGAGAGGAGGAGGTGAGAGGAGGAGGTGAAGAGAGTAGAGCAGGAGGAGGAGGTGAAGAGAGGGAGAGGAGAAGAGGAAAGGAGAGGAGAGGAGAGGAGGAGAGGAGGAGGTGAGAGGAGGGAGGTGAAGAGAGTAGAGGAGGAGGAGGAGGTGAATAGAGGAGAGGAGAGAGGAGGTGAAGAGAGGAGAGGAGAGAGGAGGAGAGGAGAGGAACGTAGGAAATAAGAAGAGAGAAGAGGAGAGAGGAGCGGATACTAGGGAGGAAACAAGAGCAGAGGAAAGGAGAGGAGGACGTGAAAAGAGGAAAGGAGAAAGGGGAGGAGAGGAGGAGCTGAAAGAGGAGAGAGGAGAGGAAAGGTGGAGGAGGTTAAGAGAGGAGAGGAACATAGGACATATGAAAAAGGGAAAAGGAGAGAGGAAAACAGGGATGAGATGGGAAAGAAATGGGAGGAACGGAGCAGAGAGGAAAATTCCGAGTGGAGAAATCGAAAAGGGGGCCTGGTGATGAAATGGGAGAGGAGGAGAACGGTTTCAAGGCTGTAATTGAAATCTAATTATCACCTCAAGTCCCAGCTGACTACACGTCAAGCACCCGCACACACACACACACACACACACACACACACACACACACACACACACACACACACACACACCGGAGCGCCACATATGTGCACGTGTGTACTTACAATCATCACATTATTACCACCAACATCTGGTGTCTTCACACACCAATAATCCTCCTGTCCCGAGAGCAGTGTAGGACCTCTGTGTACTTTCACCTCTGTCTCCCTCACACATACACACACACACACATACACATGCATAAAATACACACATCCTCTCTGGTGTGCACACATACACCCCACCCCCCCACCCCGACACACACACACGCACACACACACACACACACACACACACACACACACACACACACACACACACACACAGCCATGCAGTCACACACAGACAAAAATGATCAATGGTGGGAAATGGGCTACAAGCTTTTTCTAATGTCTAATTACAATCTCACACATGTGCAACGTCATCACTATCACACACCCAACGTCATAGCACAGACACACACACACACACATAAATACACGCATGCATGCAGGAAAACACACACACACACACACCCACACATAGTGCACCATTTAGGCTAAATGGCATCACATCAGATTTAGCCTGTACTGTGCTGACCTGGTAATGACGGTGTGTGTGTGTGTGTGTGTGTGTGTGTGTGTGTGTGTGTGTGTGTGTGTGTGACAGGAGGATGGACGGATACTGACTGGCTTTCCCTGGCCGAGGTCTCTGTAGAAGCCGCTGAGCTGTCAGCAAGTCCTCGGTCTTCACGGCCTGGAGCAGCTCCTGGTCCTTCCCCATGTCCCCTCCGTCCCGCCGCCTCGGTCCGCTCGGTCCCGCTCTCTTCCTCTGAGCGCCCCTCTCTCCTCCGTTAATCCGCTGCTACATCCTGCCTGCCGCTCCGGGCCTCCCGCTGGAGCTGAGGCGCGGAGGGATGGATGGATGCTGCCGGGAGTGGGATGCTCCGATTCGGCCAGGAGTCCAGCGCAAAGTCCCGCTCTGCCTCCCCCTTCCACGCGGTGCTACCGACCCACACCGACCACCGACCGGACCGACCGGACCTCGCGCTCTGTCGGGATGCTCTCCGGCCGCGCAGGAGCACTTGCGACAGATTCCACAGATTCTATCCGCGTGACGATTTCACCGGGTCTACGTGCGTGCCGTGCGTGAAAAACGGTGGAGCTCGAGCGCCCTCCTAAATGCTGGGTCAAATCCGCACCCGCTGAAATCTCACGAGCTCTCAATCCGCAGAATAACACGCACGGGTCGCTGATGTTTAACGTGTGACCGCTGTCGCCGCCGCGGTGCTGGACCAGCTCGCGCCAGCTCCAGCGCGCATACACACACACTCACACACTCAGTCCACACACACACACACACACACACACACACACACACACACACACACTCAGTCACATATGGCATTACATAAACACAAGCTACTAGTGCGCGCGCCACTCCAGTTGTTGTAATCCCAATCCGCGTGTTTCCGCGCGTGCGGGCGGCGAAGTCAAGAGAGGTCGTTTGACATCGTAATAATAATGTTCTCAGTCGCGTGCAATGAGGTGCACTCAGAGCGCGGGACAGTGGGAGGCAGAGTCCGGGATCGCGCGGACCCCATGAGACACTCAACGTGGAGACAAACTGCCTCTTATTTAAACTAAATCCGGTATTATTCATTCATATCTGGAGCATCACTTTCATTCTCCATATTTTGTTTTATTCCAATTAATTTTTATCTTTTATTATACTCTTTTTAAATCCCCTTTTTTAATGTGTATATTACTTTACTATCTTATCTTAATTATCCCCTTTTATGTCGTATGTGAAGCACTTTTAATTGCTTTGTTGTTTAAAGATAGACACAAATAATCTCACGTCTACTGTATATGTGTCACAGCGGTGATGGTTTCACGTCAACGTGTTTAAGGTTAATGAGACAGAGATAATTTGAGGGCAGGATATGTGTGTGTGTGTGTGTGTGTGTGTGTGTGTGTGTGTCCCTGGTGCAGGGCTAATTTAGGCTAAAGGGGCCATCGCCAGTCGGATTTAGGACAGGAAGTGGAACACATGACAGGCGACTGGTACTTGATAAAAGAAATCAAAACTGTGTGTATGTGCATGCTTCAGTGGTGCAGACACAGAGCCAGACACATCAGATTGTAATAGCAGACAGTTGTTCAGCTGAGAGTTGGTGTCATACAGGATTAACCAACTAAAGGGGACTCTAAGGGCACAATGCTGGGCCTCTGCTCCGCTCAGCACCCTGCAACAATTGAGTTACGTTACAATTAGATTAGACAGAAAATGTATTTGGGAATATGAACTGTATCCACTTAAATAGTTAAGTTGTTATAAATAGAGCTGTGTACCAGTGCCATAGTCTATACAAAATCTAATGAAGTTTACTCAAAAAGGTCAGTCTACATATACAGCACAAAAAAAAGTGCAATTTTAAGTAACTTGTACCCAGAATTCAGAGTGTTTATTTAAAATAAATTGCAAATCATGGTTACACAGCTCCAGGAAGAATATGGAAAACAAAACGATGATTGAGGAAACATTTTGTTTCCTCATTGTGAGCTTTGATTGACATGTGGCTTTATTGACATTCAATGGTGCATTTACTGTGTCCTCTTAGAACAACACAATAAAAAAAAAAACAATGTTGATTTCTTGTACACTAACTATGATTATTACCACCCCGCAGTTGTCCGCCGCCGCCAACCAGTGAAGTTTACATCCATGTCTGTCCAGACTCATACAATAAGTTTTATAACTAGGTTCGGCAATAAAGACCACGCCTTGCACTCATCTTATCAAAACGTACTTAAGCACACCTTATCTGTTCACTCCCTCTTTGACTCAGTTCCCTCCAAAGCCTTTCTTTTTCTCCCCCTCTCTCTTATCCAAATACAGGAACCACTGGGGATCTTTAAGAGATGAGAAGAGAAGGCTCCCCCACTCAGAGTCTTATCACCCACTCAGTTCCCTCCCACCGTCTTGCCGAACTCCTCCATCCATTCATCTATTCATCCCTCAGCCTTTCTTCCCCTACCTCTTCTTCCCTCATCCCTCGACCCTTCCCCAATCCATCCATCCCTCCTATAGTTTACCACATTGGTTCACATTTCTTTTTGTTAAATAGAAGTTGAATTGATGATACATATGTATGATTCCAGTGAGTATACATTACACCAAGTACTTTATTATTATTATGTAAAGATAAATTCTTATATAGAGTAGAGCTACACAAAATGTGGGGCTTTTGTTTTCTTCTGGCACTTTTATATGTGACGGCTCTCTGTGAACTTACTCACTCAAATTCAGTATTATTCAATTATGGCTTAAAAACATATCTTTTGAGGGAATAATGACCTTTGACCTGTCACTAATTCATTGTGTGGCCAACTGTGAAATATGGTCTCAATCTCCCTTTCTGTTCCTGAGTTAAGGAATTTCCCAGGACATAATTATGTCACAGTGAAGTGTTGTTAAACATCTGTGTGACATTTTTGTCATAATTGCTGCATTAATTCTGGAGTTATGACCAAAAACGTGTTTGTTAAGGTGATTTTGAAGTCACAGTGACCTTTGACCTTTGAGTTAAAAGCGTCACCAATTGATTGTCCCAACAACTGCAAAAAAAATGGTAATCAATTCTTGAGTGATGGCCAAAAATGTGCTTCGAGAGGTCACAGTGATATTGATCTTTGACCACCGAAATCTAATCAATTCATTCTTGAATCCAAGCAGACGATTGAGCCAAATCTGAAGAAATTCCTCTCGAGGCATCACGTTCACAAGAATGGGACGGATGGATGGACAGACAACCCGAAAACTTAAAAACAGCATACTAAAGATAAGTATATTAGACATATTTTATACAGTTAATACGTAGTAGGAAGTTTGTGATGCATATTCCAACAAGACTGCAGCATTAATATGGACTCAGGCAGACCTCCTCAATCATATTAGCGGACGACAGCGAATACCTCCTGTCCTCCGAAACATTATTTCCAAGCAGATGTTACGTAGTTCCCTCCCACAAGGAGAAACTTTAACTATCCACATTGGAAATGAATTAAATGATCTTAAGTCTCGGAGGGAATTTAGCTTTGATATTAAGTTTGCAATAGAATATAGATAAAGCTGCATTTTATAGCTACATGCATTACTAGAATAATTACATAAAATAAGAGACACAAAATAATTGTATTTAATATATTTTATTTCATTCTATGTTACCAAGACATCACCACAGCAACGCATCGTCATGCATGTTTCGTTTTCTCATGCCATCCATACGGTATTTGTCTGTCTACCTAAATCCACGTAAATGCAGCGTTAGGGTATTGGATCATCATCCAGGGCTGTCCAAGAAAACAAAGTTGAGGGTTAGCAAAAAAAGGCATCAACTTTGGTGAATGATGTGTCTCGATAAGTATACATTTAAAAAATGAGTGCAGCCCTCTGGTTAGAGGGCGAGGGTGGTGGCGTATAAGTCAGCATTGGCCTGCTGAGCCATTTTCAACCCGTGAAATGCAGATTTTCATAAATTAGATGAGAATGTAAATATCACCACCAGCTGTGATAATAATTACAGTACAGTCTTATAATTTAGTTTAGACAGCTTTGGAAAGTATCCAACAACAAAAAAACCCCACTTCCTCTCCAAAACCACTCCTCCATGCACAATGCATACACAGTAGCCAATCATTTCATTCAGCCAGAAGGGCTGCGACAGCAACAGGTACCGGATTCTCTTTGTTTTGTTTTTTCCAGAGCATTTGATTTATTGATTGCTGTCAGGATGTAAAGGGGTATTTCAACAAATACAACACAAAATGCTACTGAAACACATTAACCATCCATGCTGTAAGATTTTAACTTACTAACATGAACACAGATTTGCTAAATAGTTTCTCGTTTCACAGGACAGCAACCACGCATATAAAATGATTTCAAGTGTAGATGAGTAGTTAAAACTGCATTAATCAATACTGTTATATTCTATATTATAATTCAAATGGCTACATGTAATGGGAAAGGGGTCGTTCTTAGTGACCCACCCACCGAGAATAATCATCAACTCTCTAAGTCTCAGCTGCTGTCAGAAGGCAAAAACTATACGTATAAAATAGTAACTCTCCGGCTGGAAGTTAAGCATCCAGCTATGTCACAGATATTTTCTAAGAGTTGGTGCCAAAACTACAGAAGCCAAAGAGTGCCTGTTGTTGCAGCTATTTTGTCTTGTTATGTCAGTTTAACAAAGTTGCATTCTCATAATAAGGAGTAAATTATTTTTAGAAAACAAAAGGTAAATTTCTTCATTCAAATAAGGCTTCCTAATTTCATTCATAATCCATCAAAAAAAACATTTTGCTTTCTCATGAAGATCAGGCATTTGTCACAGAACCCCCCCCAGATAATGAGATAATTAACCCATTATGACCAGAAAACAACTCTTTTGTTTTGAGATAATGAACTCACAATCCCGAGATAACAGGATTAAAAAACGTAAATGCAACAATGACGGCTCATGGCTTCCATTCAAAACAAAGTAAAAGTAAATTGGACATTTCATGCCTCCTGTGTAGAGAAACAGTATATCTGTTAAGGCTAAAACATTAAAAGGCTGGTGATATGTCAGCTTCTTATGGTATCTTTCTATCCCCCAGTGCCTAAACATTAATTAATGCAGCTTTAAAAGAGCAGCAAATTGTATATTTGTTGGATGTTAAAAACTGATGTATCATGAAGGCAGTGGTGCAGCTGTTACACGGGATCTGTTGAAACCGTGTCCTGTATACGTAGATAAGAAATGTGGAATTCAAACGATAACACGTGTCACCATGCATACTATACTGAGGGACACATACCATTTTCATATTGTGTGCAAATAACTCGAACAATAACTTGAACAACAAATCAAATACTTAAGCAATACAAATACACAACATTTGTATTTACTTATAATAACAACATCTTGACGCAGCAACAGGCACTTGTTGGCCACACACGTGTCTATATACAATAAGGGTATGCATGAACATAGTCTTTAACTTGAGTGCTGAGTCCAGGTAAGGTTCTTATATTTTCTGCTCCATATGCGCGCGTAAGAGCCCTCCTGCACATCTGCTTCAGGCACTCCGGACGCTGTTTGCGATACGGCACCGTCAGCTTACAGGACGAGCCGGTGTAATAAGTGAGCAGAGAGAAGAGTGAAGCAAAAGTCCTGTGGCTGCCATACAGACTGAAGAGCAGGTTGTTCAGCTGGACGCGAACGCTGGTCGGTCCTTCTTCGCTTTGGTAACTCAGAGTGAAGAAAACATCCGGCTGGCCGCTGTCTCTGCAACAACACAGGAGCACACAGTCACTCTGTGCACACTCAATGTCGTTTTATAATGCTTTTTATTGGACATGTAGAAGAGGGAAACCGTATTAGAGCACAATATATGCATATGCTTATCCATTTTTTTTTACTTTTAAGATGTTTTTAATGTAAAATGGAGATAAAGAAACTACAAGTTATACATAAAAAATGAGCTACAAATCAACTCGATATCAGTTTTAATAGACTGCACTGGGTGGCAGAGGTGGCAAAAGTACACACATTTATTACTCAAAGGTAAAAAAAGACTTCAGTAAAAGTAGAAGTACGGATTCAGCTTCTTTACTCAAGTAAAAGTGAGAAAGTACAGGCTCTGAAATGTACACCAAGTATTAAAGTAAAAACTACTCTCTTGGTTCCTCTGAAGGAGATTTCTACCGACGGTTTCTGTGCAAAGCTGAGACTTCAAATAGGGCCAAGTCTCCCTCTCTTGTCTGTTTCGTCTCGTTACACCTTTTATGTTCGTGTTCGTCATGTCAAATGAATGAATTAATTAAAATTAAAACTAAAGTAACAAGCCTGTTTTGAAAATGTAAGGAGTCGAAAGTACCTGAAAAAAACTACTTAAGTATTTTAACCAATGAAGTACCCTTTTGCAGCAAGAGCATAAAAAGAACAGAATAAAACGACACAACAACTGTAAAAAGTAGTAATTACCTGATGAGGAAGGTGCCCAGTGGTGCCTGTGAGAGTATTCCATGTGCCTCCTCCATAGTCATCGCTCCCCAGTAGTAACCGCTGTGTTGGAGCTGCAGGTAAGTGTGTTTCACTAGTTTATACTCCTCTGCGCTGCTGAATGGACGGAGATGTGTGGGCAAGCTCTCAGCATCAGCTCCAGTCAGTGGCTACAGCAGAGAAGGTACTAGAAATAATCAGTCACCATGTACAGACAGCGGCATGAACTATGTGAATGACAGTCTGTTATAATGTTTCTAAAAGATCTTGTTATTGTGGTGGTTTTTAATCTTAAGTTACTTGTATATAGATGTATCTCTTTTTATAGTGTATGTTTTTTAAAATAATTGTATTGATTTTGTAATTTTAACTGTCTTGTTTTTAACTACACTGTACAGCAACTTGATTCTACCTCTGTGTATGAAACGTGCTTTATAAATAAACTTCCTTGTCTTGCCTATAACTATATAAATAATAATAATAATTACGGCTGTTGCCTCTCGCAGAAAACTTAGGACTCGTTTCCCTTTGTCATTAAGACAAAAAGTGCAAACAGGAATTCAGGAAGAACCTCCCTGAATAAATTCAACTGGTTGCTGAGACTCATTTCAATTGACTTTAGTTTCACTTTTCCAACATTAACTTGTTGCTTTTTACAGTTTTATCCATATTTTATTTATTCTGCTTTGAAAGTCTCTGAAGCAACTTGTAATGTTTGTTTGGAGAGATGCTGTACTGTATGAATAATAATAATAATAATAATAATAATAATAATAATAACAACAACTTGCAGATTAGAGACTGTGTTCAGACACTGATGTCAGACTTTTCAGAAAAAGAAAAAGAAAAACAACTCTCATGCCAAAATTCAAAGTCCAAAGATAAACTCAGATATTTGACCTAGCTGACAGTGATAACGACTGTGGGGGGGAAACACCTCTATTACATGTTTGTGGTTCATTTGTATTATTACAATTCTTAAACGTTTTACACATTATTATTGGCATAGTCTTTGGCTGGAACAAAAATCTATAAAATATCAATAATAATACTATAAATGACCTTGTTGTTGTTGTTGTTGTTGTTGTTGATGATGTTACAAAGGGTTTGACTGGAACAAAAACCTACATATGCTCAGCCCAAACTTTGTTATTTGTCACTACTGAAGTGATGAATCATGTCAAACTCATAATAATGTTAAATTTAATTAAAAAATGTATATATGGAAGCACATTTCTCCCCAAAATAAACATTAAAGATTTCCATTGGTGGAAAATAACTATAATAACTAAGTACTACAGTTAAGAACAATTTTGAGGTACTTGTTAGAGCTGGATTTAATGTCCAGTATGATATGAACCTTTCATATACTGTCATACTGTTGCATAGCTGAAACCACTTCTGTAACACTTGTTAGTGGTGGAGAGTGCTACAGTCGGGGCAAACTGTGCATGGATAGTGGCGCCTTAATTACTGCGTTCCTTCTTACTAATGGTTCTAACTTCATAACACTTTACAATTAAATTTGAGTCAGTTTATAGTGCTTATACAACTGCTTTAAAATGTTTAAAAGGAAGCAATGTTAAAGTTGTTAAGATATCTTTTATATTTTTATATTCTGTGTTTACTACGCTGTAGATTGAACAATAAACCGCACTTACTTGTACTTTCTATTTTATGTTACTTTCTATTTTGACTCCACTTTTACCTCCACCACACTTGTTTGACAGCCGTAGTAAAATGTTACTCTGATTGATAAAATTATTATTAATGCAAAATATGATTAACAAATACATGATGGTGTTTTATTATAGAAAAAGCTACCCAATCGTCTATAACATCGTAAACCATCAGCTGCAACATTCAAGTGATACTTTAATGCATTAATAACTATAACCCCATTATGTAATTTATATTATTCTGATTCTGCATTATGAATTCTTTTACTTTCGGTACTTTAAGTAGATTTTGATGATAATACTTTTGTACTTTTACTTCCTAAAAAGTTGACTTTTATTTGGAACAGAGTATTTTTACACATAGATTTTCCACTGGATGCAGCATTTATCGATTTGATTTCTGTTTTTATTTTGTTCCAGCCATCTGTCCGCTGTTTAAAAATCAATATCCCAAAGCAATAAAGTCTCCAGTCTGTGCTTCAAGTTGAGCAACCTTTGAGTACTCACCTGGCGCCAGGTTTCAGGTTCTTCCTCAAAGTTGAATTTGTTCCAGTGCAGTAAACCTAGCTGCCTCTCTGTCGGCTCTGGGCTCTTTGGGTTAACGCTCTCTGGGCTCTGTGCGCGTTCGGGTCCTGTGTGTTCTTCAGCGGGCTGTCTTTGTGTCTCAGCTGTGTGGTTCTGTTTCTGGCTTTGTACTACTGTTTTATCAAGATTGTCTCTGACCATCCTACAATGGAGAATCCTCCTCTTGACTGCCTGTTGCACCACTTCCTCCACTTTTCACCGGCAGATCCTCCATCATTGACTCCTCTCTGGTCGGTCATCTGCTGCTCAGTCCTCTTTGAGACTCCATGTTTGTTTGAGATTTTAAATCAAGTTTTATCAACATTAACACAAAGTGCTGGAGGGGAGCAGAGTCTGGATCTTCCGTTGAGGAACTATCACTACAATATCTGATGAGCTGAAACCCAGAAAGAGGAACACAGACAATCACAGTCAGAATCTTGTATTCTTCTACATTTCACATCATCTTCAACCTGCTTTAACTGATGTTTTTGGCCGCTTCGGGGGGACAAACAGTTGCTTCTTTACACATCCAGCAGTTACGGAGCAACATAATCATTACGTAGGAATTGTGTTTGTGTCCACCTGACGGATGTATGTCCAATATTCACTCTCTTTTAGCCAGTGCTAAAAAAAAAGCACTAAGTACAAACACCTCTGATTTTTGTCCACATGAGTACCCTTACTTCTTATTGAGTACCACCACCTCTGAGGTCCAGATCTTGGAATTGTTTCCGAGGGGTATACCATAAAAGTCGTGAAGCAATTCCCATAAAAATAACTTTGATGCTTTGATGTATGTCCCCAAACCCACTCAGCAAGTTCAGTTTTTGACCTCTGTATTTCTAAAACCCTGCGTACTGTGCACTGCTGAGGTAATCCGAAACATCCGCCTATCTGTGTCTCAGCACTGAAAATGTCCTTGTTAAAATGCTTTTAAAAAAACAACAGTAGAATTGGGGTATTACCACCTTTTGTGGTCCAATTCAGGCACTGTTTTTAGCTCTGTTTTCAACTCCTGAGGAAAATATATGGCTCTGTAAGCAGCAAAACATGCCACTGTGTTCACCAGCTAGTCACTAACTGTGTCCGTCTGCTTTCTGGTGTTGGGCACGTAATGCACAGTGGGTTTTTAGAGTCTTTTCACTGACAACTGCTGCCAGCTAGGGCCAAAAATCACAGAGCAGTAAGAGTGAACCAGAACAGTAAAGTTTCCCGGCCAGCTAAACAATGAGCTGAAACCTAATACAAAGCTCCGGAAAAATTGCAGATTCATATGATATATATTCTATGAATGACCCATTTCACATTGTAATTGGAAACATTGTTATAAAACCATTGATAATATCTGCGCTAACTCCACAGCATACTTTGCAACACATGCAATCCAGTCTGTGTGTGTGTGCCTTAAACAGACTCATAGGTCATGTGACTGCCAATAAACCACACGTTTGTGTAACGCTGGGAAGGGCGGATGTAACATGACGATTACAGAGGAACGCTTTCACTTTCTCAGTCAAGCAAGACAAAAAAATAGACCCCAAAAAAAGAACTGGATCCGATTTCCTCTGCATTGTTCTTCATGTTTATCTGTGTAAGATTACTTTACATGTCAGTGCATACATGCTGTAGAAAGTTTATTTATACGGCTGCTTTCCAGAGTAAAGCCTGTAAAGTGCCATCAAATGAAAGATAAAAGCTACTGACCTAAAATACAAATACAATATATGAAAACAAAAACTTAATAACATTTTAATTTAATATGTAGCATAACTATATAAGGACATAAGTATATTTTTGTCATCTCTTTTTCTGTTGTTATGTATATATGTAATGGACTTTGTAAAATCTTGCTTAATTTTGCTTTTATGTTTTAAAGCACTTAACTTTTAAGTTCCTTATTAAGTGTAATATTCATTAAATTAGTATATTTAATACATAGATTATAGTGGTTTAATTACTCACATAATTGCAACCTCATTACAAGAAGATGCTGTTTTATTGTTCTTTTGAATGCTCTTCATATTGAGCATTTATTTCTTTAAAAATAATCAGCTTTAATGTCGCTTCGACACATGTTCAACATCCTCAATCTCAAATCATACAAACTTATCATATAACATATAATCACATATCTTATTTCTGAAGAGGCAGGCTGCGTCTCTTTCAGTTTAAAGTATCCTGTGTGGAACCTTTTCTGTTGTAATAAGATATTTTCTATTACGCACTAGAAAAAACGACTAGATTAGAAATGAAACAATGACTATGAGGTTTAACTTTCAGTTGAATGGTTAGTTGCGTAAAAAAAAAAACCTTTGTTACAGCTGGCAGCTGGCAGTGCAGAGACTGGGATACTACTCCTGCACTGCGGACCCCAAAGTGGACGTAAACACGCTGAAATGAAAGCTGCAAGTCACTCCTTTAAGCCTAATGTTTCACCAGAGTCCTGGAGTCAGAGAAACCACATCAAAAACCGGCTGAATGTCAAAATACTGACAGACTGCACTGCAGGAACAAAGGTTTAACAGGCAGCAAAAGTGTTAAAAAACTGAGCAACATCTGTACAGACAAACCCTTTGTACTGCATACTTTACTGTTGCAACACAAATCTACACATTGTGTAATTTTAATTAGGCAATATGACAGCCTTACTCACAGTCATTAGCCTGTCACTCTCCACACCTAACGGGGAAATAAAAATCTTCTCTTAATTTGTGTTTTTTTTTTAAAAAAACCCTACAAATATTAAAGCTATCACACAATAAGAGCCTCCAGTAACAAAAAAAAGATCCATGTGTGTGTTTTCTGGTTTTACAATTGTTGTACCGGTTGAGTTGACACGAGCACACACACATCTGTTAAAATGACTCTTATTTTAACAATGCATGAATTAAACCCAAAGCCGAGTTTGACTTACAATGACTGGAGCTTGTCGGAGCCGCTGTCAGCTTCTCTCCAGCCGAAGGTCGCAGCTCTTCTTGAGAAGAAACATCTTACTTTCGGTTAAAGTTTGCTCTGTGCCGGAGGCGGGGCCGCTGTTTGAAATATCTGGCGACAAGTCAGTTTACGGTCGGTCCTGTTGCAACGGGAGACGCTCTTCTTACCCACACACTACAATAAAAAAAAAAAAAAAAATTAAAAAAAACCTCACAAACGTTCAGGTGTTCAGAGCAGCTTTCGCTTTCATTTCGGCTCTGCGGATTTCTCTTAAATCACGTGATCTGCGAGCAACGAGTGGCGCGTGAGCGTGCGCGCGCGCACTAACAGCCTATTTATTTAAATAGATTTGGCTTTTCAGTGCTTTAGACATCGAGGCACAAATGATTATAGGGTTGAAACACAATGCATTCCGTGTGCGAGGACAACGGGCTTGCATTTTTTTTTTTTTTTTTAAAGAACTCAACTTTTCAATGGAGATGAGTAACAACAGAACTATGCAAAACACTTCCTGTCAAAATGAATGTGAAACGTTAGATGATGGGAACACACTCAGCATAAACATGAAGAGACATCAATAACTTTGCTCTAATGAGTGCCATTATAAAAAATAGAGGCTGTTAAACATTAAACTACATCTGTTAAAAGGTCTAGTGTGTAACATTTATGAGGGATTATTGGCAGAGGTTGAATATGTATGAATGTGTTATTATCAGTGTATAACCTGAAAATATGTTAGTGTAGAATGAGCTTTTTCTGTATCTACTGACGCCAGGTGTCGCTTTCCGTGGAGGCCACCATGTTTCTACAGTAGCCCAGAACACCCAAATCAAACACAGGCTTCAGATACGGCCGTTTTTTGCACATTTCACAGCCACCGTAGTTTTTCCTTTGTGCTCGAAAGGGAAGGGTGATCTGCAACTAAACCTTACTAGATGCCACTAAAAAGGAAAATACATTCAATGTGCAGGATCGAGCATTGTTTTATCATTCAAATTTCAAATGCAAATAATCTCTTAGCTTGTTCAAAAGGCAGCAAATACACACATTCGAACAATGTCTGCAAGCTCAGAAATGATCTGGGTTGCATTCAGTAACTCACTGTACCTTTCTTTTAATTTTTAATGCCATGTGTTGTGGTGACTGCTTATTTTACATCTATTTTAATTTGCAGAAGATGCTCTCGGACCCAGAGGGTGAGCCTCGTCTATCAAAACCTGCATAAAGCTAAACGTAGTATCAGAATCCCGCTTTGCTCATCAACTCGTGCAATAAGTCTAACAACGTATTGCATCTTTTTTGTGATTGACCTATAAAAAACATTTAATATGGATAATTTAATAGATTATATGAACAAATAAAAATACAATTCTGCATTGGTTTCAGTTTCTTCTGCAGCAAATGGAGAACTTGTGGGGAAACAATTTTACTGCACACACATACAAGGACACTCTCTGATGCCATGGTAACCAGTGTGAGGTCTCATAAAATCACTGAATACTCATCAGACAGCATCGAGCATTTACACAGCATTTATTAACAAAGTACAACTTTAAAGTTCCACTCACTCGGTGGTAGTAGCACCTTGTTTCTTCACACCATAAACAACACTTGTGAAGTATAAATAATGCTTATTGAGTATAAACATTGCAGTAAGAGGTCGATCTTTCAGGCTGTGGAGCTAGATGTCTGGTTCTCTTTTTTGTTTTGCCTGTGCATCAAGTAGGCAGCAGCTCCTGCAGCAAAGATTCCATAAGTGACCAAGACACACTGTAAGAGAGGAGAAAGACATATTTCTTACTGAGGAAACTTCATATGTAACAAAAACTTTCTAAACGTTGCTATTTAATGGAGCCTGGGCGTGTATGGTGTGTGTATTATCTACATTTCGGCGACCCTGCAGGGTATAGCTATTAAAGTATTTCCTCCAGCCAGTCAGTTCCACAGAAGCTGGCGCCTCGATGCCGAACAGTTGCCTCTGAAACACACACAAAAAACCCCAAACACGCACACAGTGAGAGGAAGCGCTGAACACTTGATATTCATACACATTTTGTCACATTATTAAGGTTATATTTAAATGTAGGAGGACGAGGAGGTGTTAGGGGATTATAGACAATGTATTGTTGTTTATAAAGATTTCAAGTATAGTCAATGTGCATTTAACATTCCCTCCAGGTAAAAAGGTATACAATATAAACATAAATGAAAATGACAGAGAAAATTGTTAACCACAAAACCCAAAGTGAGATGATTAAACCGCGAGCACCTGTGGCTCAGGAGGTAGCGCAGGTCATGCATTTATTGCAGGGTTGAGGTCTAAGTGTTGCTCTAGGTAGGCAGGCCTGAGCTTCGCATTGGCAGCTCCGCCAATATTGGTGCATGAATGGGTGAATGGGTGAAGGACGGAGTCGATATTGTACAGCGCTTTGTCTGTTATGGTAGAGGAGTGCTGTACTTTGTCTGCACCCAGCTCATCAATCAGCCTGAAAGCTATGCCAAGTCAAAATGAATGTGAAACAATAAATGATGAGGAGCCATTTCTTTTCATTGTAGTTGAAGGATGATGCCAAAAACACGAGTAGAATACAATGCAGAAGCATGTTGAAACAGGCGGTTTGGTAAACTGGCATGACGAGGCAGAACTGTGGTGAGAAACAGGTTAATGGTCATGCACACACTCTGAATTAGATTAAACTGAATAATTCATCAGCCGGAGGTCCAGCTAATCATCAGACTTGCTGGCAGCACAGACTCTCCACAGTCTTTGTGAGTTGGACTGTGTGATGAAAGCTTAAAAGCTGGTTGAGGAGCTCCTTTTAATGCGTATACCGATGACATATATCTACATTTTGCAACATTAGCTGCCACGGACGTGACAGGTTATGTAGGTTATGTGCTTTTGCTTTCGCTTCCAGTCTTTGTGCTAAAATAAGACAAACTGTCTTGTGACTCCGGCTTCATGCTTGTTGCTACAGACATCAGAGTTAGATTAATATTTTCAATTGTGTGTTTCCCAACATGTTATATTATTCCTTTATTATGTTCTATGCATTACAATAACAGTGCAGAACAACTGATCAACTGAACAATGAACCCACCCAGTGAACACAATAACTGCAGGAAGTTTGTGTAAATTTTGAGCAGATTATTTCCTGTAAATGTTGCATCAGAGATTCTTATACTTACATACTTAACAGGTTTTCCTGTTAAGTTATTCTTGTTATTCTATCAGCTCTTTGGTTGTTTTAACTGCGTACTTTTCTAATGCAGGAGTGACTGAAGGCTCTGTGAACATAGCTTGTGTTCAGGTCTTCAAAGTTTATATCTTAAATAATAATATCAACTTTAAATTTCATTTCATTTAGTTTTATTAGACCCCCTTAAAATCAAGAAGGCCTCGTGACTCGTGACCCCCTGTGAAGCTTTGGCGCCCCCTTGCGGGTCTGCACTGCTTTAAAAAGGGACGTCTATGTGAGCTACACGACAGTAAAACTTCTTAAAAAAAAACTATTTAAAAAAGCACCATCATGCACTTCATCTGGAGCGTCGAGGGGGAAATGCAGAATATAAGGATTCATGTGAAAAGAGAAATAATTTCCATTATGAACATCAGACTTACATGAAGTTGCCGGGGGCGACGGCAGAGTGCTGCAGAGACTGCTCTGCTCTGTAATGCTGATTTATTCTACAGCGGGTAATGACATTAGCAGAGTAGAGAAGAAATACTTTTTTTTCCCCTCGTGGAGAGTCGACTACATGAAACCCCCATCACGGACTGGAGAAGGATGGATTAGAAGATGGCTGTTTAAATGATTTAGAAACAACAGTTGTGACGTTGATTTTGTTACTAGAGACTATGATTTAACAGTTCTTCATTGTAAATCCCACATGGGCTTTACAGCCACTTCACATAAGTGAAAAGTGGCTGTGAAGCAGGAGCCCTACAACTGACAGCGGTGATGTTAGAGGGATCCAACAGGTTGCTGTAGTATTGGGAATATCACTAACAAACAGTTAGCCTCCAAAAACGGCTGCTCCAACTATTATTTAGGCTACAATATGTCTCTTAAAAAAGGTCCAGTGTAACATTTAGGAGGATCTATTGGCAGAAATGTAATATAATATTCATAGGTATGTTTTCATTAGTGTATAATCACCTGAAGATAAGAATCTTTATGTTTTTGTTACCTTTGAAGGAGCCGTTTTTACCTACAGACGCCACAGATTGAGTCTACGGCATGAACAGGTCCAGCAGTTTATATTTGCTATATTAATATAGGCTGCAGCCGTCCCTTCAACCTTACTCATAAACACTACTTCACACTACATTTAGTGCTGTAATCACAGAGTCCTGCTGCTATATGATATTAATGTGGGGGATTTTTCCAACAAAACACATTTTGTGTGTAAAAACTGATTTTTTCTGCTCAAAATTTGCTTCCCATCTACTTGGATTTCCAAGTTTTGCTCAGCCAAAGTCACTCCCCAACTGTGACGCAACAGGCATGATCAGGTCTAGTCTGTGTGCCAGCCTCACGTTCAGAGCTGCTGGCAGCATGAACAAGCCTGATAAGTGCTGACGTACATGAGCGAGATTTACTCCTCTTCATTGGCAGTGTACACGACACATGGGCCTGCAAATAACTGCTATATGCTGAGCTTAACAAGATATTAAGGGCTGACAAAGCGTAACAGTAACCATATTAAACAGCACGGCTACAGCTTTGTACTGACAAACCGGAGAGCTTCTCTTCTTCTGGCCCCTGCTTCCACGCTGGGGCCACAAATGTGCTTCTGGTGACTTTTTAAAGCTCCACCAGACTCCTTGTATTTCCAGGAGAGAAATGTGGAGTCTGGCAGTAGCTTCTCACGGCTGGTTAGCTCTGATTACCACTTGCTTGTGAGAGGTGTCTCTGCTGCTGCCATCTTGAAGCGTGGGGGGGGGGGTTGTTCTAGTGGCTAGTTCAAATCGTAGAAAACGAAAGAGTTTTGTGCTGCTTTTTGATGTTTTAATGAAAGAAATGCTGAAACCAAACAACAGGGAATAATATTTAACAGGTGAAAGTAGGAGTGGAGTAATACGCAAGAGCTGGTGGACACCAAAACTAGAGCTAAAAGAGAGTGAATATTAGATTTTTAGTTTGTCAGGTGGTCAGAAACACAACTCCAAGTGAATGATAATCTTGCTCCGTGACTACTGG